TTTGAAGTACCTAATCCTCTTTAACTACAGCTACAAGCTCAACAGCCACAGCCTACCAATACGCAAAACCACATCCTCAGACACACCTGTTGGTGAACACTTCGGTTCTTGCTTTTTCTGTATGGAACAGAACCATTTTCCAAAGACTAGGCACATGGCTTTCTCTTTAATTCCAGACACACACACACACACGCACACGCACACGCACACACACACACACACACGTCTGCAGTTCCCTATGTAAACCACACTTCCCTGGAAACTTGGAAAACCCTGGTACCTGTAGTCAGTCAAATGCCTATAGTAGCTGTGTTTCCTCTGTACTTCTGTCAAATGTCTTTCCCCTTCACACTCCAGCAAACTCTTCCTCAGCATGCCCCTTCTTATATTACCGCTCCTCAATGACACCTTCTCAGTTTCCCCCCAAGCTCTGTGCCCTGTGCTTCCAACCCTCCGATCATCTACAATAATATCCAAGTCAAATGTATTACATTTTTTTCCTACTTTGGCTGGGTCGCAATTTTTTAGGGTTAGGAGAACTGATATGATCGATTTGAAATGTCTCCAAAAATGGCAGTACACCCACCTTCTGATATACAAACCCCACTACAGGACTACAGCTTGTGGATTTGCAAAACTAACTACCTGCTATAATACTGCTTTACCAAAGACTGGAAACCATCAAAATGTGCATCAGTAGGGTTCCCTTAAATAAATATCAGCAAATACCATGCAGGAGTTTAAAAGAAACCCAAGCCCTCTTCATACCAATATGTACATTTTTCTCCAAATTTCTCTAATGTGGAACAGGAAGAGATCTCAGTGGGTTGAGGTACCAGCAGCCAAACCTAAGCATTTGAGTTTGATTCCTGGGAGAGAGAGCTGCCCTCTGACCCCTACAGATGCACTATGGCTCACACTCACAAACACGAACCCCCTTCCCATAACATGTCCAAGTTAAAGCCTGAGCTCTAGTCCCACACCCCACCATGTACAGCTATCTTTGAGGCATCGAATAGCTTACTTATCTTGAGTAAAACAAGAATATAGGGACCCATTCACAGTGAAGTCAGAATAAACACAGTAGATAGAGGATACGGAGTGCTTGCTCCCAGCCCTGACGTGTTGGGCCAACTAAATGTTCATTTTCCCCATCGCTATCATCCAGGGAGTCCTCAGAAAGTTTCCCCTGGGACTTCACTCAGTCATTGGGTATAAACATCGCATTTATAGAAGGAAAATCCCGGTGTACATCTGGAAGTCGAGTGATCACTCTCACTACTGCTCCGTTATTTATGCAGGGGTGAATTACACAATAGTTGAGACCAGTTTAGACGAGACTCTTTTCCTCTCAAGTTTTATTTAAAGGGCATACATACAACGCCTTTTATGCTTTTATCGTGACTAAAAGGCCAGAACACTGGCTAGCTTCTTCTAAGTTCCACAGATTTATTTCCACAGGACACATGAAATATTTATGATGCCTTCCTCTCACCACCAAAATCAATAAGTCATTTGGAGGAGAGATGGCTAAGGTCAGACACAGGTTCCAACTACAGTGGACTGTCCCCAAATCTGTCTGAAATGAGATGGTCTGGAGGTACATAATGGTATTCAGTGCACTCCTTACCCCACGGCCCATCATATTTCTCCATCTCTGTAAGAACTGAATTCTGTCCTGCACACCTTCAAGCTAGGTAGAGCCACTTTCCTTGCAGTGCAAGGCTCCCAGGGTGGCTGAAAGACACACAAAAGCTCTCTGCACTAAGAGGCCTCAGGGCTCCGAAGGGCAGGTCAGTCCTATGCACTGAAGACTGAGCCAGGGTGCCAAATCTAATGAGTAGGGGGAGGGTTTCAGTGACAAACCTTCAGGGGCCAAAAGTGACACCATAGAAGGTAAAAAGCTATCCAAGGCACAAACTGTGACTGAAATGGCGTTTCAAGCATTATACAGACAACATAGAACAGAAACATTCCAGCCCACAACAAGACATCTCAAACTGACACTCGGACACCATTCTAAAGATAATTGCTTCTGTTTTCCTTTTAATAAAAACTGACGTATGGGGCGGGGGGGGGGGGAACCTGAGAGATTATTCATATAGTGTACTATCGCTAGGTGATAAGAATGGGTTTTAAATTTTAATATATTTTACTTATTGTTTATCTGCATGTGTCAAACATTCTAAAATAGAAAATACATCTTATTACTTTGTTTTTTGAGATAGGTGCTGCATAGTTAGGCGTCTCTTACTTCACTGAGTGCTAGGGTTCCAGACATGCACCACTTATACACTAAGCTTTTGCTTATATATATATATATATATATATATATATATATATATATATGATTAAATAATGAAATGGATGCAATCAGCCAACTAACTGTAGATAAAGAAACTAAGTAAGAAACAAACAAGTAAGAGCTGTTCCTGGGAACCCCCAGTGCCCAGCATAGGCCAAAAATAGAAGTTACAGTAAGGAATGTTTAAACTAAAGACCAGGCAAGGTGGTGAGGCAGAGGCAGACTCAGCCCAGAACAGCAGCCCACTGCTTGGTACAGCCTGAAAAATGCATTAACCTATTTTGTTGTTTAATGTCCCTTGCTATCTATTTGTGATGGTTTATACTGACTTAAATTGGGCTATGGAATCTCGTAGAAGACAAGTTTCTAGATTTACCTATGGGTATTACCTAGAGTAGGTCAGTCTTTAAAGAAGGCCTGGGTTAACCGAGTTGTGAAGCCTCATTCTTGGCAAAGGCAGCACCATTCCCTGGGTTTTAGTACTCCATCTGGATAAAAAGGAGGATGCTAGCTGAGCAGGAGCATACATCCTTCTCTGCTTGTGACCGCAGAGGCAATGTGACCCGCTGCCTCCCACTCCTGTGATGTGGGATTACCCTCTGTATGCTGTGAATATGTTTTATTACCATTGGTTAATAAAGAAGCTACTTTGGCCTATGGTAGGGCAGAATATAGGTAGGTTGGAAAACTAAACTGAATGCAAGGAGAAAGAAGGCAGAGTCAGGGAGGTGCCACGTTGCTGCTGAAGGAGAAAGATGTCAGAACCTTACCAGTAAACCACGAGCCTTGTGGTAAAATATAAAATAATAGAAATGGGGTTAATTTAAGATGTAAGAGCTAGCTAGGAATATGCCTGAACCATTGGTCTGTGTTGTATTTAATATAGTTTTTGTGTGATTATTTGGGCTGAAGCAGGCGGATCTCTGTGCGTTTGAGGCCAGCCTGGTCTACAAAGCAAGTTCCAGGACAGCTAGGGCTGTTATACAGAGAAACTTTGTCTCAAAATAATAATAATGATAACAGTAATAATAATAATGGCACTGAACTGATACAGTTGCTGGGAGAAGTAAATGAATTCAAATATGTATGGATTAGGTATAGACCAGGGCCTATCACACAGTATCTGTGGGCCAGTATGATAATAAAAGTTTCTGTCACAAGTAACACAGCACATAGTTTTAAGTCCTACTGACACTAATATTTCTCATTGTAAATTACTAAGTCAACAAATTGACTTTCATGACAACTGTATTTATGTCTGGGCCTCCCTTGTAAAATCCCTGTGAAGTCAGGGTTCTCTCTATATAGTAAAAATGTTTAGCCATGTGTTTTCTGATTTGCTTGAGGAAAAAAAGCAGAGATGTAGACAACAAAAGTAGTTCCCAGCGCACATCTGCACTCAGCAACAGGGTGAGTCCGAAACCACACCCAAGGGTGCCTGAACACACGAGTTCACAATCCCGGAGCATACAGGAAGGCAGGTTCCTGCCAGCCCTCACAGAGGCAACCCAGACTTCACTTTTAATGAGTCTGGAGAGAGGAAAAAACTCAGGACCCGATTCTCCGGGACATTCTTCCAAATCAAGCGCTTTGTTTAGCTACCAAAAAACTCAGTACACTTGAGGTCCTGACTTACAGCTGAATTTACAAAACTGCCACCTCACACATCCGCATCTAAATTGCAAATTGCAAAGCTCTCAGATTTCACATCGAAGGCAGGAGCCTCTAACCAGCGCCGCCCTAACTCTGCTCAGGCCAAAGCCAGTCTAAGCCACTTCCTTCACCCTCGGCCCTGAAAATTTTAAGTCATCAGAGAATGCCTATTTCACAAATACGCGTGCATTATTTTCAAAATCGAGAGCTTGATAATGCCACAAAAGTTATTATTAAATTTGGAGTTACTGACATTTAGAAAAAAAAAAAAAAGCTCAAGGGTTAAAAAAAAAATCACTGGAGCTGCGTAAGTTACCATAAAGGATGATGTAAATGGCTTGTTTCAAGTTTCAGCCTTTGCAATATCAAAGTCGCAGATTGGAAGAAAAGGACTAGGAATTCGTCAGTCATTAATCTCCCATTTTCTATGATTCCTGTTAATTACCTAGCCAATGAAAGCTCCTACAAGTTTATTTAGCCGAACTGAAATGCAGCAGTCCCTTTAAATACTCTCGTTTCTCCACATCATAGAAAACACTCTAAGAACAACGTTTAAGAAGTGAACCAGGAAGAGTGGTCAAGCACACTGCTTTGAGGAACTTCGTGCTCTCTCCAGCTTAGTTAGCCAGAGTCACTCTAAACCAAGCACTAGGGCGCACGACAGAGCGACACTGCCTAACGCGAAGAGCCGAGAGGGTCGCGGGCCAGACTGTCCCGCTGGCAGCACGGGTGCAGCTCTCCAAAGCTCCCCGGAGACCCCGAGTCCCCAGCCTGCTCTCCTCCGGGCCCCGCAGGCAGCGGGTGCAAACCCCACCCAGCCGCAGCGCACTTCCCGTTCGCCGGCCGGTCAAGAACTCCAACTTGACAGTGACACGCCGAGCTATGAGGAAGTGGCCGCGACCTAGGTGCTGCCACCACTCCGGAGGCTGGACCGCCCTGACGAGCAATGCGGAGGGAACCCGAGGGGGTTCGTCGGGAACTCCGGCTCTGCGCCCCGCAGCCTGGACACCCGCACGCGCGGCGCGCCGATCGGAGCTCTTACCTGGTTTGACCGGTTTGGGAGGTGGCTTGGACATGGTGCTACGCGGAGCTGCCAGGCTCTGCCGCGGGAGCCCCACACGCAGACGGGAACTGGGCGCCAAGCCTGCGCTGGCCGCGGCCGCTCGGGACCCGCGCGCAGCCGATGCGGGACACTCGTACCAGCGAGCTCCGCTGACCGCCCTGCCTTCCCACCAGGAAGTGGCCGCGCCTCGCCGGCCGCTGGTTGGCTGCGGCGGTGAGTGGGGCGGAGCTTCGGAGGGCCAACCTGCTTCGGAGCGCTGGGGCCCCGCCCTCCTCCTTGAGGGAGGAGCCTTGTGCTGACCACGCCCCCAGGCCCAGCTTGGTGGGGACTGTGAAAGCGGCGAGAGGGCTGCACAGTCCGGTTGAGCATCGGGCAGTCGTTCCCTTGAGACGCTCGTGCGGCCTGTTCGGCGGCCCTGCTGGGGAGGACTCGAACCCGCTTCGGTAAGTACTCACTGCCCGCTGCGTAGCCGCGCCGAGGCTTGGGCACCTTCCAGAGTCACTTGCGCCGGACCGGATCCTGATTGTGTCTAGGGAAACCGCGTTAGGACTCGCGTACCTCAGAGGCGTCTTGCTCTTCACGGTACTGGCGCTAGCCCCAGGTGACCACACGTTTGCTGGTAGAGGAATCGGATCTTGATTCTCAGGAGACAGGACGCTCCTTTCTGCAGCATTTGGTAAACAAACTCCAACCCACCTGCTATTTGGATTTGTAAAGCCTTCCAAGAATGCTTTTGGTGTTTTTAATATCTGAGACAAAAGCAAAAGCATAGTGTTCTGCGGCATGTGGCACGCGAAAGTTAGGGGAAACTTATTTTCCGTGCCCGTAAAATTTTGTTAGAACACACCATGCTCGTTTTCTTTTGCATAGAACTGTGGCCTCTTTCTCATTACAAACTTCAGAGTAGAATGGTTTGCCCACAAAACCAAAGCTGTACAAATACATGTATGTGTATATATATACACACGTATACTATCTGGTACTTTACACAAGTTGCCTATGCCTAACCTAACACCAAATCTCATGATTTTGTATTCACACACATATAAACTCACAATGTTATGATCGGTATTATATGCTCCATAATATAATAGGGGAAATAAAAACGAAAATACTGATTATGTAAGAAACTACAGGGTCAGCAAGATGCCAGATCTGATGACCAGAGTCCAGTCTTCAGTACCCACATGTTGGAAAGAGAACTGACTCCCACAAGTAGACCTATGACCTCTACATGTGGACTGTGGTGAGCCATGGTATGCACCTACCCACACACATGTAAATTATAAAAAAAAACCTTCATAAAATGGAGTGTCAAAGTGTCGACTGAAAGTTAGGTTTAAAAATAAAAAAGTGAGTGGAACTTCAAGAGGCATAGGTTACCAGGAACTCGGTGGTGGCCACATTCCTAGGCTGTGCTTACCAGGAACTCAGGCTGTGGGAGATTCTGTTTATCAGAAGGGATCAAAGTTTAAATTAGTAGCAAGAGAAGGTCCTGTCCATTGGGAGAGGATCCAGGTAACTGCTGAATAAAACACAGGAGACAGAAGTCCTGAAAACGTTTGTCTTGAACTCATCTGAAGAACACACGTGTTTGCCCTCGTCAGCTTTCTGATTTTTGTGGGGAGTTCCTGTCTCCGTCCAGCCTGCTGATTCTTTGCATGACCCACGAAGAATTCTGTATTTTAGAATTCAACGTAACCCATGTTTAGAAGTGGGATATATCAAACATAAACATAAGCCAACTATGAGGAGAATTCAACATTTCACTGAGAGCAAATCAAAAGCATTTTTAGAAAAAATGAGCCAGTCTTGGTGATGCCACAGAAACAGTCTTGACAGTGTAACAAGTTCCTGACCAAATGGGCTACATAGTGTGAGATTCTATCTCAGAATGATAATAATGAATACATTTTTTAAAAAAAGTATATAGGCAACTCATGTAAAGTTTGCTCCTGTCTCAATCTATTCTCCCTGCTCCCTGTGCAAATGGTCTCTGCTACTGAGGAAAAGATACTGCATAAGTAATACGCATGATTCACGGTGATAGGACACCCTGATTTCTTGACTCTGGAAAGTTCAGAAGGTTGTTTCTCCGGAGCCATCATAAGATTCACAGTTTATCTTTGCTCCAAGTTCTATGCACTTCATACACTGCTATAAGGCCAGAGGATCAAAGTAAGGTCATCTTCCACTACATAGCCACTTTAAAGCCAGGCCGAGCCACATGAAAAGCCTCAAAAACAAACAAACAAAAAACCCTTCAGCGTGTATATAGAGAACATGTATATAGAGAACATGACAACTCTTGACTGCAACTTGTTCAAAATTTAGGTTTTAAACCATTTTCGAAGAGACCCTAAGTTATAGTGAAATAGAATATGGGAGTTGCTGGTGCCATGTATGAACCTGGATTGTATCTGAACCTTGTGTATCCAACACAGTTTTTGAAGCGGACAGCTTCAAAGATTGGTAAGCTGCTCACTGCTCCACTGACCACTCAGTCCTGCCCCAGCCTTGTTTCTGCATGGCCCCGTTCTCCTCCTCTCCTGCATTATCACCTCCTCATGGCTGGTGAGATAGGCCCAGCACTTATCCAAACACTGTTTTGGATAGTCCCAGGTTGCTAACTCAATGTAGACCTGTGGTGCCTGGGTTTTAGACTTTTCACTTATTATTTATTTAGTGTAGATGTGGACACATGAATACTGTGCAGGTGTGCAGAGGTCAGAGGACAACTCAGAGTCAGTTCTCTCCTTCCATGTGAGTTCTAGGGCTCCAACTCCAGTCATCAACCTAGTAGTGAGTAACTCAGGTCGTCAGGCTTTGGGGTGAGGGATACTGTTTCGATTTGAGAGAAAAAACACAGTCTTGCAATCCCTTGTACTTGGCTGCAGGAGTTTCAATCCTTCTTGCCTGAAGGAGTTTACATTTAGATTCTTCCACCTCATTCCTCATCTCCGGACTGCTAGAGTTCACACACAGGTAACCCCCTCAAGTCTTTCCAGTACCGCTACCACAGTCATTACTTCCATCCTCTGTAATCGAGGCAGTATCCTGATGTATCTGCACAAATATGTCAGGCAGGGAAGGGACCAGTATTTTCCAATAACTGTGCACGGCAAATGCATGGCTTTTCAACAATACAGCAATAAGAATGACACGAATTGTCATCCTTCAGAGCCTGAGAAGTCAGCATACATGCAACAGCCTTTTGTGCTCTTGGTAATGAAGCATTTCAGAGCCTCCATGGAGACAGAAAGATGTTCACTTAATTGATCTAGTTTCTGCTCTGGCTTTTCTAGAAATGGATATCTGTCATTCCAGTCTGGACCAATTTGTACTTCTGCAAAGCTTGAGAATGTATCCTGTGCCAGTAAAAGCTTTTCCCAGAGATGGGGGAGAGAGTTAAGAGACAGGCTGACATCTGTCTTCCTCTGCCGCTGTGGGCAGCGCCTTCTTTTAGTAGGAAAGCAGGAAGGGCATAGAGAGAGGTATATTAGTCAGAGTGATCTAGAGGGACAGAACTTACAGGAATATATGTGTGTGTGTGTATGTGTGTGTGTGTATGGGGGATATATATATATATATGTATGTATGTATGTATGTATGTATGTATGTATGATTTATTAGAATGGCTTCCAGGCTGTGGCCCAGCTAGTCACAATGACTGTCTACCAACAGAAGGTCCAAGAATCCAGGAGTCTGTCAGCGCACGAGGCTGGATGTCTTAGCTTGTCTTCAGTTAATGCTCAAATTCCAAGGAAATAGGCTCTAATGTTAGTGAAGGGATGGGCTTGCCAGCAAGAGCAAGCAGGCAAAAAGAGAAACCTTCTTTGTTCCATCTCCTTTAGCCAGCAGAAGCTGTGTCTTCCCACCTCAGAAGATCTGATTAAAAGTGGGTCTTCCCACTCCAGATGTCTTAAGTAAGAAAAAATCCCTTACAAATGTACCCAGCTGCTTGGGTTTTCCTTCATTCTATTTTTTTTTTTTTTTTTTTTTGGTTTTTCGAGACAGGGTTTCTCTGTGGTTTTGAAGCCTGTCCTGGAACTAGCTCTTGTAGACCAGGCTGGTCTCGAACTCACAGAGATCCGCCTGCCTCTGCCTCCCAAGTGCTGGGATTAAAGGCATGCACCACCACCGCCCAGCTTCCTTCATTCTAGATGTAGTCAAGCTGACAACTAAGAATAATCATCACAAGGTAACCCAAGGAAATAGGTCACACGAGCATGACATCGGTTAACAGGCACTAAGGAAACACCAGCTATTGGCCTCCGGAAGCCAGACTGTGGGTAATGTGGGGTTGAGGCCACTGATCCCCTCCCAGCTGTTACTGCTCTTCAGGACTAACTCAAGTCAACTAAATGATACTGAACTTATTTTTATTTACTTATTTTAGGAACTAATAGGAAGACGTGATTTCCAAAGCCAATTATGAAAACATTTGTCATTGGAATTGGTGGGTGAGTAGTTCTTTCATAAACATCTGGGCAAGACACTCCAGTGTAGGGGGAGGCTGCCCAGGCCACGAAATAATCACTCAGAAACTATATTAATTAAATCATCGTTTGGCCAATCACTTAAGCGTCTTTCTGGCTAATGTTTATATCCTAACCTGTCCCATTTCTATTCATCTGTGTATCGCCACATGGCTGTGGCTTACCAGGTAAAGGTCCGTCCAGCATCCACGTGGCTTCTCCCTGACTCAGCCTACTTTCTCTATATATCTTTTCAGTCTGGTTGTATTCTGTTAAGCCATTGGCTTAGAGCAGCTTCTTTATTAACCAATGGTATACAGAGGGGAATCCCACATCACTCCAGATGTCCAGATGGTGTTTCGTGTGGACAGAGAAAGGTGTGGGGAGTCCCAAGACCCAGGAGAAGTGCTGCTACTTGGACACCAGTGGGAGGGGCAGGGTTTACCAGGAGAAGAAAGAGGTGGGGCTAGCAGTATTACCAACGGTTCCATTTGTTTACTGGAGCTGACCCTGGAGAGGAGAGCTGACCGGTCATTCCTTTGATTGAGGGTGATCATCATTTCCCATGTGGATGCTGGCATGGTGTAAGAAAAAGTAACACCCCCTTCTTTTTTATGGCCAGCTTTGACCTGGGAATACAAGCTTCCTTACCTATAGTCGTCTTCCCCCACCTTTAGGACAACCAGGTATACTATTTGGCTAGGCTAGTTGGTGTTGCCCTGGTATGATATTAGCCACGTATTTCACTGTCACAAGTATTCTAAACTGTGTAGTCATTTGACCTGTGGCGCCAGAGGCTGATGTGCAAATGTGACATCAACAGCAATGGGAAAGATTATTTGTCTTGCTCCTGGATTGTGTCTATCATTCTTCACGCGTGTCTTATTGACAAAACATTTGTGATATTACAAATGTAATTTGAGAGAGATAATCTGTTGTGTTACATCACAAAGGAATCAATTAGGGATAGGAAGGGACTGGGTGCAGCTGTGTAGCAGAGCGTTTGCCTGCTTGTGTGACCCCAGCATCAGACAGAGAAAAATAACAACAAATTAAGAATGAATTGAGCATCAGAATGTGCCTTGTTGTGGCTCCAGTCTGCCTGGAGCCGAATCTGTATTATCCTGAAGGACTACTCCTGTCCTCACCTTCAGGTCACACTCTCTGCCACTCCTGTGGTAGACCATTATTCATCATTCCCTAATTGCAATCACCAGTTTAATCCTGGGGAACAGTGGCGGGGGGGGGGGGGGGGGGGGGGGGGGGGGGGGGGGGGGGGGGTGGACAGGGACAGTTCGGGGTCAGGGATAACCATGCTGTATTTCAACTTAGCTTCCCACTCCAGCAGTAAACAGCTTCCTAAGCCCCAAGTTCCTCAGCTAGAATATGGGGCTTAATATTAATATATCACCTTGTTATGGAAGTAGTCTCATCTTGCTTGACTAACTGTAAACACTGTCTTTAGCTTCTGCCTGTACTGCTGTGCCCTCCTATTACAAAAGGAACTATACATTTATTTGTAAACAAAGAAAGGAAATACATCAGGTAGCCTCTCACTTTCCTCCCTCAGATCCTAAAGTCCTGCTCTGGAGCTTTTCCCTACGGCTAGGGAAGCTTGTGTGAATGAGGTTCTGAGCTTGCTGAAGGGGAAGGAGTGGGTCCTGAGGCGTCACCTGACCCACTGGGATGGTTACATTCCAAGTGTGGATTGCAGGCTCTGTGCTCGATGATGAAACCCTTTCCCAGCTGGTCCATTCCCTGCAGAACTCCTACAAGAAGTACTTCCTTCTCGGTGGCTTCATCTGAGTCAGTGGGGAGGGGCCTATTTATTGCTAATTTAATTATACGATCTTAAAGAGAAACTATAAGAAATGACACATTTTCTGACTAGATTGCTCAGACCATACTAAAGTTTCTTCCTTCTAAGCAAAAGCTTAGTATCTTGACTATGGACTTGCAGTATGGTTTCTAGACATTTTTTTTTCTCTATATTTTGGTTTTTCGAGACAGGGTTTCTCTGTAGTTTTGGGGCCTGTCCCAGAACTAGCTCTTATAGACCAGGCTGGCCTCAAACTCACAGAGATCCGCTTGCCTCTGCCTCCCGAGTGCTGGGATTAAAGGCTTGCATCACCTCTGCCTGGCTTGGTTTATAGACATTTTTTGTTAAAAAAAGAAAAGGTGATATCAGTGTTCTCAGTATATAGAGTAACAGCCTTACACCCTACCTACTTATTGTAAGGTAAAATGGACAGTCGTATCCACTTTGCAGGTATAAGATATTTACATGATAACATATAGCCAATAATCATTTTGTCTGTGTTTTGTTGTTGCTCTTGTTTGATGGGTTTTGTTTTGTTTTCTTTCAGACATAGACAGGGGTCTCACTAAGTAGCCCTTGCTGGCCTGGAACTCACTTTGTAGACCAGGGTGGCCTTGAACTCACAGGAGATCCACTTGCCTCTGGGTCCTGAGTACTAGAATTAAAGGCACGCACCACCATACCCAGCCTCACAAGTCCTTCTGATGAATGTATTTCTCTCTCTAGATTATAAACATTGCCGTGTTGATCTCTCCCAGAACTAGTCATGGGTTCTTGCCAATAGATGTACAGTCAGGAGCTTTGTACTATGAACATTTGATGTGTGATGAAATCATGACCTCTTTTCGGGGTGACCTGAAATGCACAAAATAAAATAAAATACAGGAATACAAAGAAAATCAACTGTATTAAGATACAGCTGTAAAATACTTATACATAAATCTGTGGCCTTGTGATAGTTCACTGCTAGTGTAGTAAACAGCATATGTAAGTTTGGAACGATATTGAGCGCCTGTGATCCTTCAGGATACCTGCCCTCCTACAGCTCAGCATGGATAGGGGTGCAGTTCCTGTAGACGCCCAAGTCACAGCCATCATCACTACTACAATCCTACTTATGATAAAAGGAGCTGCTGATTTCCTGTTAGAATTTAGTGAAAACGGTGTAATCTCTTTTCTTTTAAATTCACAATGACCCTGAATTCTTTCACGGACCCTTTGGCTATGACTGAGCTCTGAGCTAATCACCTCTTTGCCAAAATAATAGAATAAGCCAGGCACGGTGGCTGACACCTGTAATCCCAGTACTCAGGAGGTCGGGGCGAAAGGTTCACTCTCAATTCAAGGACAGCCTGGGCCACCCAGCTAGGGGATCACCATGGACTGCAGAGCACCACCCTCTTCAAAAGAAAAACCCCAAAAGGAAAGGAAGATTGGCTAGAGAAATGCCCCTCACATGCCGGAGAGTAAGAAACAGGACACACCAAGTTAGTAGGTACCTGCGCCTCCAGATGTGACAGTCCAGCCAGAGGGAACAAGCAACTGACCTGATGGAGAAGTAAACCTGGGCCTCTACACGTGCTCCAGCTATAGAGAGAAAAAGGGGGGGAGGGGGAAAGCATGCCACAGGAAATGTGGGCTCATGGGTAGGCGGACTTTTGATAAGCCATTCCTCTTTTTTCCTGTGGGGTTGAAGCAATCACAGTGGCCATGGGCAGGTCTATAAACTTGCAGAAAGGTGTGCACAAGACTTCTCTGGGGTGTGTCTCGAACCCAGAGCTGTTTAGACAATCAGAACATTGTTTTACTTCCTACACGGTGTCTCCAGTTCACTGACCTGACTGTTACTTGCCTCTCTCCATCCTTTACTTGTCTCTTACTATTAGGACAGCTTATCTTTCAAGTCTGTGATTTTGCCTGAAAAACAAAACACAGTATGTGAAAATGAGCATTTTTATCTCAAGTAGTAAATATTTTTTTTTATAATATTCCTTTTAAAAAATATTGTTGAATGTTCCTTGGTCCCTAATGTCTCCTTGGACCTCCTGCTTTTTCTTGTCTCAGTGTGACAAATGGCGGGAAGACAACGCTGGCTAAGAAGTTGCAGAAACACCTTCCCAATTGCAGCCTAATATCTCAGGACGACTTTTTCAAGGTACATATGAAGCTTCTTAGACATCTATCTGACTCTAAAGGGCTTACTAACAAAGTTAATGATATCCACAAGCTTTGGTTAAGGATAGACTTGGTGCAGTAGTGTTACCTGCCCACCAGGTGGCATTATCTGTCAGTGACCGGCTTTGCTCTGCCCATCATTATCCAAAGCAGTTATTAAAGGCTTATCTTTTTAATTGTATAATTGCATCGTTTCTGCCCACCACTATGTTTGTTTTTCCAGCCAGAGTCTGAGATAGACACAGATGAGAATGGATTTTTGCAGTATGATGGTAAGTGGAGTCCTGTGTGAAATAGTATGAGTTTATATTCATTTGCTTTTTAAATGCAAACATCGTTCTCTCTATTAACATAAAGTTAAATGTTTGTATAGGGAGGGCAAGAAGGCTCCCAGGGTTAATGCACTTGTCACACAAGCCTGAAGACCTAAATTTGATTCTTTTGAACCTTTCAAGGTGGAAGGAGAAAACTGCCTCCACAAAGTGGGCTCTGGTCTCCCCAAGCATGCTGTGGCATGGAGGCTCCCCAACACATCACACACACACACACACATACACACACACACATGCATGCATGCATGCACATGATCACAGACATACATGCTCACACATACGAATAATTTGTTTTGAATGTTTAAATATTGCTGTATTTTAAGCCTGCCATTGTAGATTTTTTATCTCTGGTCAACTATTTAAGTAAACAGAAAATCTGTCCCAGATATTTAAATTTCAGACTCAAAACTGGGATGGTAGATTTTTTTTTCCCAGAAGCAGGGTAGGTTTGTCATCTTTCTGTCCATCCCTGACTCTGACATATGACTAGCCATGCTTATGACTTTGAGGCTCACCCACTAGAATATTTCATCTACATCAGACTAGCTTTTTAATGCATTCAGCTTCCCTTCCCAATATCAAAGCACCAGAAAATGTGTTTGTTTGTTTGTTTGTTTGTTTTACTACTTGGAAAACCTTGGAATGTTTTTTAGATTCACTTCGTTTTCTTGACCCAGGCTGATTCTGTTGGGAAGCCAAAGAATTAAAGTCATCCAGAAAGCATTTCTTTTCCTGTAGAGACTAGCATAATGAGAGTTTGTGGTCTTGCTGTCTTTTATAATTAACAGACTATCCTTAGTATGTCTGTAGACCAACCGAGAGGGCTTCACCAAAAAGACATGTGTTCTCTATCTCCAGTTTTGAGGGTTTGAGGATTCAGTGTTACATAACAGTTCTTACAGACACACAGTGGCTTTCAGACCAAGTCCCTTCTTGGCAGTTCTATGTCAAGTTTCAGTCTTGATACATTGTTTCTTCTCTTCCTTCCTAAAGTAAGAAACTACTTTGGGGAAAAAAAACAGAATGAAAAGACAATTGAAGCAGTGACAGCATTATTGTTCCCATTAACTGAGGAGTTCTCGTAAACTAACTAATAAAAAGGTAATATTTCAATAGAATTAACGCCAGAAGAATGTGAATGCCTTCCAAAAACAGGAGGTCATCAAAGAGTTGCAATCACCTTTCTTCCAGTTCCAAAGTAGACAGAGAATTTTAATAAAGGGTAATGACCCAATGGCAGGATCACTACAAAGCAATCACCCTCGTGCACATTACATGGGATTACAAACTAACACAACTATGTCTCACAAATGCCTTGAAATGTTCCTACCATGAATTCATGTACCCTACACCCAAGAATCTATCTTTGAGAAAAGAATTGAACTTTTCAGGTAAACGTCTCAATGTAAAGTAAGTCCAGGTAGACTCAACATCTTTGTAACCACTAAAAGGGCAGTTTATAAAAGTGAGTTAACAGATACACAACATGCTGGACCGCTTTAGTCACAAAAGGATACTGCCCCCATGGTTCTGGAAGCTGGGATCTGAGATGAAGGGTTGGTTGCTTTAAGGACTACGACAGACAGATTCAGTGCCACACTCTGGCCTTTGGTGCATTACCACCATCTCTCCTTTCACTTTCCGTGGCATCTTCCCCGTGTGCATATGTACCTACCTTTCTTAGTGACATCAGTCAATACACAGTACCCCAGATCATCAGGGCATACCTGGAAGGCATTTGTCGGTCAAGGAGGCAGGAAAATCTCAACCTGGATTAGAAAAATAATAGCTGACAAGCATCGATTCTATGATGGCACTGTCGAAATTGTCTGACAGAGATCTGAAAGTGGGTTTGTACAAAAAGGTCATCAGGTCCCTGCAGATGGACTTGAAACAGGAGAAGAGTTTAAACACCCCAAGAAAGACATGGAAATGTGACAAAGGAACCAAGAAGGAATTTGGTAACTGAAAAAAAGTGTGATAACCCAAGTCTAGAACTCTCCAGGTAGGCTCAGTGAAAGAATAAGCATGAGAGGAAAAGATCCATAACTTGAAGACGTGGTGGAAACGACTTGGAACGGGAGGACATAGAGAAAGATGGAGTGATAGCAAAAGACCTCACATCTCTACCTGGGAGCTTCAGGAAGAGGAGCATGGACTCCAGACGCAACAGGGAAGACTTCACATTCGAGAGGAGACGTGAACCTGTTGTTGGAAGGATCTGAGTGACCCCCACAGAAGTTAGACAAAATGGATCAAGACGTAATTAGGGGAGGCACAATTTACAAACAGCAAACATGGGAAGCATCCTACAGATGTTGGAAAGAAGCCCTCATGCTTTGCCTGTCTGTATGTCCATACACACATGCTTCCCTCCGTTATGGAAATTCTTAGGAGACTGATTTATAAACCTTGATGAAATGGGAAGTTTCCTGGAAAAAGTGGCACTTAGCCAAACCAGCAGCATAACTATAAGAAAATCTCAATAATCTTATCTCTATTAACTTATTTAGCCCACACTTTTCTGAGAATTTACGGCAGAAACGCTCGTGAGGGCATGCGGTGTGATCAGTGGTCAGGAATGAGGCTGGGAATTTACGGGAGAAACACTCGTGAGGGCATGGGGTATGATGAGTGGTCAGGAATGAGGCTGAGAATTTTCATGTCTGACAAATTACTGGTCTGGTCTGAAGACCATGCATCAGGAATACCTGTTCCGCTTCTCTAGAGTCCTATTTGTTAGCTCTAGAGGGTGCACTTTTCGGGGTTTAAAATGACATTTGTATCCTACAATTTTTAAAAGGTTTTCTTGTAGGACTGGAGCGATGTAGGCTCAGTGGTTAGTCCTTCTAGCAGATGGGCTCAATTCCCAGCACCCACATGGCAGCTTACAACTATATGTAACTTTAGTTTCGAGGGGATCTGACGCTCTCTTTGGCCATCTGTGGGCAATGAACACACATGCACAGACATACAAGCAGGCAGAACACCCATAAACATAAAAAAAAAAAGGTTTGTCATTTATAAGAGATCCTTTACTGTTAGAAAGAGTAGCTACTTTCCAGCCAGGTGGTGGTGGTGCACACATTTAAACCCAGCACTTGGGAAGCAAAGGCAGGTGTATTTCTGTGAGTTCAAGGCCGGCCCACTCTACAGAGCGAGTTCCAGGACTGGCTCCATAGCCACTGAGAAACCCTGTCTCGAAAAAAAAACAAAACAGACAAACAAAAACCACACATATGGGAAAAAAGTAGCTATGTTCCAAGTAAATTATATGTTATTTATCTTTCAAATGTTATCTCTAACTTATTTTGTCTTCTAAAAATTGGAATTACAGGCAGCTGCAGGCTGTCACGTGAGTGCTGGGAACTGACCATAAGTGCTCTCAAAGAGCATTGGGTACTCTTAACCACCAAGCCCTCACTCCAACCCTCACTTAGTTTCAGTTTTTAAAGGTCTTGCTGGGGACATATAGTTCAGTGGTTGAGTGCTTACCTAACACACACAAAATCCTGGATTTAGTCTCTAGTACCATAAATTGTTGATTTTTCAGTATCAGGAAGGGTTGATGGGATAGTCAGCTGGGAACTTATGGTAGTCGAGACTGAGGGACGGGACAGGGAGGGAACACAGAAAGTAAAGGCACCTGCCACCAAGCCTGACAACCTGAGTTCCATCCCTAGGATTCCCTGGAGGAAGAACAGAACTGAACCTTTCAAGTTGTCCTCTGACCCCCACACATACCCAGTAAATGCATCAATCTAAAAAAATTACAGCTAGAAATAGTGGCATAGTATTCATTGTATTTTACATTTGTACTTTTTTTTTTTTTTTTTTTTTTTTTTGGTTTTTCAAGACAGGGTTTCATTCTCTGTGTAGCCTTGACTGTCCTGGAACTTGCTGAGTAGTATGCAGACCAGGCTGGCCTTGAACTCACAGAGATCCACCTGCCTCAGCCTCCCAAGTGCTGGGGTTAAAGGCATGTGCCATCACTGCTCAGCACATTTGTACATCTTTGTTTTTCCTAATAAAAATATCTCAGACATACCTCTCAAGTATATATCTTAGTGTTTTAATGGGGTGTTTAAAGTATTTATTATTAGATCCTTTGAAAGGTAAGCGAAATGCTGTTATGTCCTACATTTACAGAACCCTAAAGATACTTATCACAGAAAGCCAACCACCTAGAGAGTTTGCTATATTAATTTCATGTGTTTTATGTTTGTTTCAGTGCTTAAAGCGCTTAACATGGAAGAAATGATGTCAGCTGTTTCGCGATGGATGGAAAACCCAGGGCGCTCTGAGGGACCCACAGCTTTGGAAAGCGCTCAAGGGGTTCCCATTTTAATCATTGAGGGGTTCCTTCTCTTTAATTATAAGTAAGTCCCCTCCCAGCCTGAAGGAATGCGGGGGTGGGAAAGAGAGGCTTGCGAGCTGAGTGTGCTGTGTTCTTAGGCCACTGGACACCATATGGAACAGAAGTTACTTCCTGACCATCCCGTATGAAGAGTGTAAGAGGAGGCGGAGGTACGTGAAGAGACCGTCTTGTGCATTGTTATCCGAAAGGTGAACTGTAGGGAAAACAGGAAAAGTGGCATTATTGAATAAGCCTTAACTCGGAAGTCAAGCATCTTATCACCTGGGGTACAGTAACTTCTCTAAGAGGCCAGTGCCGTCCTGTTGGGCTCCTGCCTCCTCACCTGCCACACCCATGCAATGCTAGCCCTGCAGAGACCGCCTGCTATATAAGAGATGAAGCCAGCCTGTCCGTATCTCGCTCCTTATTTCTTCTTATACTTTTCCCATAATTCTTTCATAAAACACCAGAGACAGAGAAAAGATAACTATGAATGTTAATGAGTTACAGGCATACAGTTTGAATCATAAAACTAAATCCATTTTGCTACTTTATTCACTACAATTGAGTTTAACAACAAAAAAATTACTCTGAATCCCTCTTTAGATTTAACCTGAGTGATTCATTTACTTTGTCAATCATGTTTTATATTAACATCAAGTTTCTTGCCTGTTTTTCCAGTACAAGGGTGTATGAGCCTCCTGACCCTCCAGGGTACTTTGATGGCCATGTGTGGCCCATGTACCTAAAGCACAGACAAGAAATGAACACCATCACGTGGGAGATCAGTAAGTATCTGTCCTCTTTCTCACAAGGCCTTTTACTTCTCATTTATGTCAAAGTACAGAAAAGATTACTTGGAAAACATTTTTCTCAAGGAGTTTTTAAAGAGATGCTCAGGCAGTCTCGGGGTTCCCCTCTTCTGCAACTGATTCTGCTGGCTTCTTCTTCCCCTGGTGGTTCCTGCCAAGTTTGTCAGATTCCACGTTGTCATCTGTTGAGCCACTGTTGCCTGGATGTGGCCTGTGGCAGTGGAAGGTCAGAGATGCAAACCCAGTCTCTGCACTAAGCCAGCTGAGATCTCACCAGGAAACGGCATTAAAAGTCTGACCTTACACACACACAAGTCTTTCCTCCATGTAAGTGCTGATGTGGAGCACCAGCGAGACTGCCCACCTCCAGGTCACTTGAGAAACCTATCTGTCACTAAACTCATATGCATGTAGCTGGCCTGGGGGTGGGGGACCTTAAGTTAGAAGGAATGAATGTCATCCAGACCATAGGAAGAACAGAGAAAAGACCTAGGGGCAGGAAGGCATGAGCAATACCTAAAAGAGGCTGTTGTGTTTGTAGTAGAGAAAAGCAAGGGGAGGATGGGCCACTGCTGCTGCTGCTGCTGCTGCTGCTGCTGCTGCTGCTGCTGCTGCTGCTGCTGCTGCTGCTGCTGCTGCTGCTGCTACAGGCAAGGGCCAGGCCCTCTAATGCTAATGGGATGTCCTGGGAGAGCTAGGAAGCACTCTACAGACTGGCTCTAAACACGGTCATGGTCAATACATACTCTTTTGAGTAAGATCTCTCCTGATCTGAAGAGTAGATTTAGAGGTTGCATTGTGGAACACAAGTACTCAGTAGAACGGCGGCATGAAGGAGCCCAGGATGCCAGACACCCCAGGAACCAGCAGGCAATGTTTTGGGGTAGAAAACATGAAGGAGTTGTACATATGTGAAGAAGGGCTAGACATGTGTTTTGCAGGAAATAAGTTGGAGGTACCTGAGAGACAGTGTTCCAATTTGGAGGCCATATGAATATGTGGACCTGAGATAAGGGGCTGTCCTTGAAGTGTTTAGGGAGACAGTGGCCTAAGTCCGTTGGCCAGGACAGAGGGATCAGACTGGCATACTTTTCAGAGCAAAGGAGACTCACCCATGTTGAAAGGAGCCTGTTGTCCTCCATCTGTGCAGAAAGGGCAGCATCTACCTCAGCGCTGTGCTGGATTGTGCTGCGCCAGCAGCTACTAGGTCATCCGTCTAGGGAAAGCATCCTCTCACGCCCTTTGCTCCCTCCATCTAAACTGCAAGCCCAACTTTGTCCTTGGTCTTTGGCCTAGTTAATGTCAGCTGTCAAATTCACACAGTCGTCTGAGGGAGTCACAGTTGAGGGACTACCTGGATTCTATCAGCCTGTGGCCATTTCTGTGACAGATTGTCTTGACGGATGATTGATGTCATGGGGGGCTCCATGCATTGTGAGCAGTGCCACCTTGGGCAGTTGAGCCCGGGCTGTACAGGAAAGCTAGCTGAGCGAGGAAGAGAGCAATCCAACAAGCAGCGTTCCTTTGTGGTTCCTGTGGCAGGCTCTCACCTTGAGTTCCTGCCCTGACTTCCCTCAGTCAACTGTGATCTGGAAATGTAAGCCAAATAAACCCTTTCTTCCCCGTGTTGCTTTTGGTTAGAGTGTATTATCACAACACCAGAAGAAAAAAACAAACACAAAACAAGGACACCCTGTTTAGATGCAGCCAATCCATGGTTGCCAGCTCTTTGGGATAAAATCTATAAAGACGCCAAATTCCATCTCCAGTGCTGTCCTTCCTCTACTTAGCCACTCACGCTTCCCCGCAGGCAACTTCTCTTCAGACCCCCTCAGCCTTGCTGTTTGCGCCTAGCAGGTCCTTTCCTTCTGCAGAAGTGTTCATGCCAGCTTTATTGAAAATATCCAACTTCCGGTCTGGGTAGTGTGTGGTAAAGTCCAGACTGGCCCGTAGTGTAAAAGCTTCATTGTTGGGGCATGCATTGGGGAGTTGCTCCTCTTTGGGATAGGAAACACAACAGTCTCTAAACTTGTTTTGTGTGTCAATCAGGCACCAAGAACAAACCAAAGAAACCACCCACGTCCAGCTTAGTGAGCCAGTGAGTTTATTGGGGTTACTTATAGGAGCGTGGTAACTCAAAGGCAATTATATCACCAAAAAGCCCATGTCACCATGGAAATGCCTCAAAACAGAATCCCTAGAGCTGCCTGTGCAGCCTTCTGGCTGCTCTGGGCATGGGAGAGCCTTCTGTCTCCAGCAGTTGTTACTGCTGACATAACCTTTGGAAAAGGCCTTGTGAGTCTAACTCTCAAGAACTCAATGAGCCAGTAGGTTCATTTACTTTGGACTCTTAATGTCCTCCTTCCTCCCTCTAGGAGGGAATGTCACAATGTAGAAGAAATAGGTACACAGTGCATGCCATGTACACAGTACTTAGCCTCTCTCTCTTTCTCTTTTCATTCCTTCCCACCCTCCTTTCTTCCATAGATCATAGTTCTGGGTTCTTTGGTGAAAGCTATGGGTGTTTTTAAGAAACACCAAAGCATCCATTACTAATAATCCTGTTCACATTTGAACTGCTATTTCTCACTTCTCAGTTTACCTAGATGGAACAAGATCTGAAGAGGACCTCTTTTCTCAAGTGTATGAAGATGTCAAGCAAGAATTAAAGAAGCAAAATGGTAAATATTGTTCTATCAAATCAGATGGTGGAGGAAAAAGAATCTTGAGAACACTTCATTGCATTCCAAGATTTGTGTGCACAAATGCCAACAAAGAGAGATTTTTGCATTGATCTTTCTTGGATCACATGACTTGCAAAGAGATATCACTTTAACCAGAAAAATGGCCTTGGCCATATGTGATTGGCCATAACTAAATCATATACCCCATCATGGTTGAAGGCCACTGCCTGAGACCTAATATTGAAATTTTTCCCATAGAGAAAGCAGGGCAGAAATTAGAAAGAAATACAAAGAAGAAAGTTGGAATACCATGCTTGGAGGATAAAACTCCAGACCTAGCAGCTAGATTTGAATTACAAGAATTAAAATGTGAGCTTAAGAAATGGCTCAGCAGTTAAGAGCTCTTGCTACTCTTGTAGAGGACTGGAGTTCAGTACCCAGCACCCACATTGGTCAGCTCATAGCTGCCTGTAACTCTCTCTAACACAAAGAGATCTGACACTTTCTTCTGGCCTCTGCTGGCACCCACATGTTTATGTACCTCCCTTCTTCCATCCATTTTCTCTCTCTCTCTCTCTCTCTCTCTCTCTCTCTCTCTCTCTCTCTCTCACACACACACACACACACACACACACACACACACAAAATAATTCTTAAAATTTTTTTTGAATAAAGATCTCATTATGTAGCCCTGACTGGCCTGGAACTTGCTGTATAGAACAGTCCGGCCTAGAACTCACAGAGATTCCCCTGCTTCTTCTTTCCATAGCTCTGGGATTAAAGGCATTTGTCACCACACCTAGCCTAATAAAAACAAGTATTAAAAAAAACAAAATGATTACTATGTTGAACTGATGGTGCATGCCTATATCGAAGCACTCAGGTAGATGGGGCAGGAGAGTCATGAGTTCAAAGATAAGTTACAGAGTGGCACTCTGTCTAAAAAAAATGGGGAGATTCTGTGGCTAACAGATAAAATGTCAGGGTCAGCTGGCTCAAGAGAAGGCAGCATTAGCCTCAGGAGCAGGGGAGAATGTAGCAGGGTTTGGGGTGAGAAAACCTGCTGTAACCCACATGTCAGTCTCTCAGGAAGAATTAAGTTTACCCTCGCTTTACCTCTTTCACTAACCAGCTAGTGCCCCATTGAGCCTGACTGTTCCTGGTTGTAAGGCCAGCCCTTGGCATAGGCAGGAAGCCCTCTGAGGAAATTTTAGGACCATTTTAAATTTCCCTCAAATAAATAAAACTAATAATCCTTACCAAGTCTGCCATCCCACCCTAACTCCCCATCCTGCCATCCTAACCCTGCCGTTTCACCCCTGCCATCCGAACACTGCTATCCCAACCCCTGCCATCATACCCTGACACCCCAGCCTGACTCCCCACTCTGCCATACTAACCCTCATCCCCGTCACCCCACCCTGCCACCCCACCCCTGCCATCTGTTACTCTGATGGAAGGTAGCCACGGGCACCAGCGTAAGTAGATGAAGAGTGATGGGGTGATGTGAGTTGCTCAGCTTTTAGAGCTGATAACCCTGGGCCAGAACTACATATCTGAGAGAGACCAGATCCTCCTTCTGCCCCAATGAGGGGCTTTCAGGACCCAGGTGCTAGCATCTGTCTACCCAGAATGGGCAGGGCTTAGGCCCAGTTCCCTTTTAGTAATTAAGTCATATACTGGAGTTTGGCCTTAGAATCTGTTTTACAATAAAGACAGAGAAAGCTTTAGTCATTTTCCTCAGATGCATTATACCCCATACCACCCCAAATCCATCTTTTGCCATCTGCCCACAAGGGCCAAGAACAGCTGGTATGCTGCAGCAGATGCTGTGAACCCACAAGGTAGTATATGTCTGTGTGTGGGACTCAAATGTGTGAGCGCATGCGCACACACACCTTCCTTGCCTGCATCTAGAGGTAGATGAGAAGTGTTCTCCTCTTCAAGGCTATCTAGTTTCTGTTCTAGATACAAGATACAGGTAAACTAATATTAACAGAAACTCTAGAAGAGATAAAACTTGGAAACAGATCGACTTTTCCTGCCCCTAAGATTTATGGTAGTTTTCCATTGTACAGGTAATTTACTGTGCTAATTATAGTAACCCATCACCTTTCCAAGTTCTTGCAGCCAGAAGAATTCTCAGAGTAGCCTGCTTCACCCCTGAGCCTCAGAGCACCAGGATGACCTTCCTAATGTGTCAGATGTTGACTCCAGGCTTTTTCATTTTGTATAACCCTATTCAGCAAATTCTTCATTATAAGAATATGCAGTCTTATTTGTGATAAGGTAATAAAATTGATAAGTAAATTAAAAAAGATAAATAACCCCGAAAAGTTAGGGTTTCTATTGCTATAAAGAGACACCATGACCATGGCAACAAAGGAAAACATTTAATTAGGGTGACTTACAGTTTCAGTCCAGTCCATTATCGTCATTGTGGGCATGGCAGCGTGCAGGCAGACGTGTGCTCGAGAAGAGCTGAGAGTCCAGCATCTTGATCCGTAGGCCACAGGAAGTGAACTGTGTCACTGGGCATAGCTTGAGCATAAGAGACCTCAAAGCCCAACCCCACAGTGACACACTTCTTCCAGTAAGGCCATACCTACTCCAACAAATTCACATCTCCTAATAATGCCACTCCCTTTGGGGGCCATTTTCTTTCAAACCACCACCATCAAGCTATATAAAGTTGTACATGTAGTGTAGTCCTAACTCAAATCTGAAGCTTGAAGTAAAATGTAATCCTGACCTAATCTTAATGCAACAAAGCAATTTATCCACGAGGACCATCAAGCTCCCTTAAAAGCTTTTGTTTTCATATTATTCTAAAAACATATTTGATTCTAAACATTTTTATGTGAAGAAATTATAATTGTGTTCTTATCAGCCCCTCTCTTACAGGAAGCTGTGAGCATACTGGGTAATCAGCCATGCTAATTTCTGGTTTCTTAGTGGCTGTGTTCATGTAGCTGTGTGGATGTTATTATATAATGAAGCTAAATATCACTACCATTAGAAGATCAAAAGCCAAGTTCCTTTTTTCTTTCTTTTTAAATTTATTTGTTTTTATTTTATGTTCATTGGTGTTTTGCCATGGGTATTGGGTCCCCTGGAGCTGGAATTACAAACAGTTGTGAGCTGCCATATGGGTGCTGTTAATTGAACCTTGGTCCTCTAAAGCAGTCAGTACTCTTAACCACTGAGCCATCCAGTGAGATCTTTTTTATATACACCAGTGTGAAATCTAAAACTTAACATTGATACTTTAGTGTTGGGGGCTGTGGACCCCCAGACCCTGAATTTCCTGGAGACAGCTTATTATGCTTGCAGCTGATCTGAGCAAAACAGCTTGTTTTCCTGTGTTTGCAGCTGCTCTGAGCACGAGACCCTCAGGAGTTCCTGATGGCAGGGAAGTGGTTTCTGGTGGGTTTGGCTGGGGTGTGGCTGCCAGTTAAGGAACCCTATTTCAGCTGGCAGTGAACACAATAAAGGGAGCATTCTTGGCATTCTTGTTTCAAGGATGACCCTGTTCCCACACTCTGTCTCTGTGTGTAAGTGTTTAAATCTCCAGCCCCTTTCCTGGCTCTTGAACCTTCCTGTAGTGCTGGCGGTGGCTACAGGCATAGTACCGAAATACATGTAGTACAGGGGCTACAGGACCACAGTACATGTAGTAGCGTGGACGCTACACTTTAGAACATAACTGATACCATGGTGCCTCTCTTTCTGTCTCTCTCTCACACACAGACATACATACACACAGTCTGTGCATACTATTGGTTTTCTTTTTGAATTGCATTCTTAGAATAAGTTCTCAGATACTAGGGTATTCGTTTGGTCAGAGAGAACAATCATTTTTCCATTTTACTTTTATTTTACATTTTTACATTTATTTCCTCAATTAAATGCTGCACTTGAAAAGATAAATTTTCTCTGACAAAACTGAATAATAAGAGTTTATCCGTTTTTTTTTTTTCTTGAGTTCCTGAACAATTCTGCTAAACCTCCTTCATTTACGACAGTGGATTAAAGGTTATGGTACTTCTTTCCCACGTCCAGACCACACCCCCCAAAAAAAATCATGCTTCCCTTTAATGTACTTCTGGTCCTCAAAGTTTCCTTTTCCTGCAGGTAAGTATCTGTGCCATTGCAAATGATAAGATATCTGGGCTTTCTATTTTTCATTGTTTGATGATTATGTACACATCCATGATGTACTTGTCATTTCTGTCACCTGCAATCCTCTCCCATCACCCTTCTATTCCCACTGAACCCTTCTTCGCAGTACATCGCCTTCCTATTTTCATGTCATTTTTTTTCTATGTTTACTTTTACTTTGGTTGTTAATTTCCTTTGTTGTTGTTGCTTGTGAACCACTGAGTTTAATTAGGGTTGTGTGAGCATAAGTGGGAAGTGTTTACCAGAGCATAGGCAACTTACCAGTGGTTACAACACTGAAGAAAATGACTTTCCCCTCCCAGTTAACTGCAAGTAGTTCCTCAGGAGGAGTGAAGCCTCGAGAACTCCTCCCTGTCATGACAGAGTGTTGGTGGGTCCCGTCTTGGACAGGTCTTGTGCATGAAGCCGTAACTGCAGTGAATTCACTGATACAACTGCCATTTCAAATCCAGAAGATAGTGTTTCACTCTCCTCCCCATACTCCAGCCCTTCAATCCCTTCTGTCCCCTCTCACAAAATGTTCTTTGAGCTCTTGGAGGCAGAGTAATGATATATGTGCCCCGTTTATGGCTTAGCACTCAATAGTCCCTTATTCTCAGTAATAAGTCTTCATTAACAGTTGAGGGTGTCTACTTTTTCTAAAGATAGGCTTTAAAAACTGATGCAGAAATTAAAACAACGGGATTTGATTCAGTGTGTTTCTTTATGGAGAAAGCAGAATTTTTGCCTCAAAAATCCTTATAATCTTAACATTCTTGGGTATTGGGTGTGAAGATCTAATCAAATAGGATTTGGGATATTCACACTTTCCTCTTTATTCCTAAGGTTTGTGAGTAGCAGCACAAAGGTGGAATGCAGCAAGTCCTCCTGGGATGGATTAAGAAACTTGAAGGACAGCAAACCCTACCTTGGGCAAAAAAGAAACATGAAGGGATGTGTTGAAGAACATTAGCTGGGATGCAGTCTGTCCTGCAGGACAGTGACGGCTCTCTTGTGTCTTTGTTCATTTTTATCACACTTTTCCCAATCTGTAGAGCAATGTGTGCCCATGCCAGGGTTCCTCTATAAGAATGGAGGTCAGCCGGGCGCGGTGGTGGCGCACGCCTTTAATCCCAGCACTCGGGAGGCAGAGGCAGGCGGATCTCTGTGAGTTCGAGGCCAGCCTGGTCTACAAGAGCTAGTTCCTGGACAGGAACCAAAAAGCTACGGAGAAACTCTGTCTCGAAAAAAAAAAAAAAAAAAAAAAAAAAAAAAAAAAAAAAAAAAAAAAAAAAAAAAAGAATGGAGGTCAGGTTTTCTTGACTAGGACCTAGCCTGAGAGAAAGAGTTCTGGCTAGTCCACCAGTATTATGTTGTGTGTTTCTGCATTTGTGTGTATAGTTGTTGTGTCCATGTTATTATGTATATTTCTGTTGTATACACACACTCAAACACTGTGAAAGGAGCCTTGTATACTACACAGCATTTTTTGTGTTCGTATTGCTTATAATTACAATTTGAAAAATGCTGCTGTCTGCAATCTCATGGCAATGCCCCCCACCTGCAGTCAGCAGCATTACCCAAAATATTGTTTTGACATTGACCGAGTCAGCAGTTTACTGCAGCATCTGTGCTTTGTAGTAGCAGGTTTTCTTCTGCTTGACCAATACTTGTGTGTCTCTGTGAGGAGACTTTTATATCCATAGAAGGATTTAGTATGTTTTACTTGGTTTTCTGAAAATAGCACTCTAAATTACAAAATCATAGTTTTCTTCAATCATATGTAAAACCAGGGCCTTTCTCTGAAAGGCACGGGCAGGGGATAGAAATCCTTTCAATGCTGGGATTAAAATTATGTGTATATATAGGCCAGTCCTAATTCAGATATGAAATTTGTTTATTAATAATAAAATAGATTTCCCACAATCTTCTCAGTTCATATAATATATACTCTTTTTTTAATTAGTTAATTAATTAATTTAAAATTTCCACCTCCTCCCATCCTCCCATTTCCCTCCCACTCCCCCCACTCCCCCTCCCTCTCTCTCTCCAGTTCTAATATTGTCTTACTTGGTCATTTGTCATTACTTCTTTATTTCTAACATCCATTGATAACGAGTGAGTGTTTTGGTTGTACACAATATAAAAAATACAAAACATAAACAGAACCTAGGCTCAAATCAGCAGCTACATATATGTATTTGGCCAAGCTGTTTAAAGTCCTGATTTTAATTACCTTGATTAAAGGATAAGTTTCAATCCCCCCTCCCCCCCCAAGCAATGACCTAGGGAGGATCCTTTCGGCCACTGTTGTAGTGGGCAGATAGCTGTCAATCAACTGTAGCTGCTGCTGGAGAAACAGCAGGAGGGAAGGGTTTTGCTTTGTGTCCCTAGGGTTTGCTGGCCAGAAGCCTGCAGCAAACATGGCCTCCCCCAGGGTCCAGATTGTTGTAGGAGGCCGCTTGTTCATCCTGGCTGTCCAGAACCTAAATAACCACACAGAAACTGTATTAATTAAATCACTGCTTGGCCTATTAACTCTAATTTCTTATTGGCTAACTCTTACATCTTAATTTATAACCCATTTCCATTTTTCTGTGTATTGCCACAAGATTGTGGCTTACTGAGTAAAGTTCTAGCGTCTGCCTCTGGCGGGGCTACATGGCTTCTCTCAGACTCTGCTACCTTTCTCCCAGCATTTAGTTTAGCAGAAGCAGACAGGAACTCAGAAGCAGTCTGAAGATTCAGTCTGAGCATGTAGTCTGAGGTTTCATAAAAAGAGATTCAGTCAGGATTCGTAGAGAGAGGATCACCCCTTCAGTCTGAGCATTGGTAGAGGTAAGAACTCTCTAGTGGCTGGCTGCTCTGCTTCTCTGATCCTTCAGCATTAGCCCCTATATCTGACTCTGAGTTTTTATTATTAAGAACTATTAGAATTCGTGCCACACCAATCAGAAGTGCTCCAGACAGAGGCTTGATATAGCTCAGTGTTAGAGAACTTGCCTAGCATACACCGTCCCCAGCCCTAGCGATCAATAAGCCAGTCAATTAATGTGCCACAAACTGCAGCTCTGTGATTCTGCACTTCCAAACGTTTTCCCATCAGATATCTAGTGGGTTTTCTTTCTACCTCTTGGATGCTCTCCTTATTACAGGACAGTCTCTTGGGGGAAAAGGAGAGTCCAGGGTTTTTGAGTCTAGCATTTTAAAATATGGCTTGCCTTTTTAAACACAACCTAGCCTGCATTAGTTTGACGATTACATAGGTTTTCTCAACACTTGAAAGTGACCATGAAGAAATCATCTGGCAGGTAAATCACAGTGATGCTGTTTCAGTGTTCTTCACAGAGTCAAACCTGCTGATGGTTTTCTTTGTCGCACGAGCATACAGACACCTACGCAGAACCTGAAAATTGGCAATGAGAGCCTTTACTGAGCATTTTCTTACCAGCATTTAACTGTGTCTACACCCAGTGTTGAAATGCTGGTAAGAAAAGGTGCTGCCTGAAGGGGTTGCCAGGAAACCACACTGAAGGTCAGGGTAAGGTCAGGTGTTCAAGGCTCGCCTGAGTTTGAGGTCAGCCTGGGGTAAAACGCTCAGAAACGAAATTCAACAACAAAAAATAAAAATAAACAAGCAAAAAATTTCCGTTTTGGTTGTTGGCAGTGCCTGTAATCCCAGCATTTAGAAGGCTGATGCAGAATTGTCAGTTCCGGGCAAGCCTGGACTGTGGAGTGATATCCTTCCTACCCCAGAACGACTGAAAAAAAAAAAAAAAAAAAAAAGGGCAGGAGGGAGGAACTGTCCTGTAAAGCCTTTCCTGAGAAGACTAGTTTAGATCTAGTCTACTAGTCTAGATGTTAACCTGTATAGACTTCACCAGGTTTTCTCTCCCCAGCCCCACTGGCACTTGGGTCTAGAGAGGACTTCTATGGGTGGTGTTGTACCCACTGAAGAGACTTAGAGCCGTCTGTCTTCTTGTGCACTCCCAACCCCACCCTGAGTGGTAACGCTAACACACTTGCCGTTGCCAGTGTCCCCTGGGGACAAAACCATTCCCCAGTTGAGAACAGCTGATAGTGAAACAAAATAAATCTGGCTGGCAGAGATGCAAATCATTTTTGTGACAGAGACAATAACTCTACAAGCTTCAGTTTATTGTTCTATACAGGGACCAGATTTATATCAAAGTGATGTTATTCCAGTACGTTTCTTACGGACTCCACAAATACTGTCTATAACTCTCTTTGAGCCAGTCTTACTATCCTGCCTGCTTATTAATTTCTTAAATGAATCTTCGAGACATGCTTGCTTTATATTCGATAAGTCATATTTTAATGATATGAGAGGTAACATACATTATTTAATATTTAAACAACCATATAATTATGAGACTGTAGATGGTACAGTAACTACCCAAAGTCATGCTTCCGGCACTCATGGGAGACAGATTGGGAACCCAGCTTTTATGGTTCAAGTAGTGACACCCTTAACCACGGTGCTATCCTGTCTTAGGAGGCCAAGCCAGTCCCCAGACTCTGTGACCCAGGGTGGTGGTTTAACTAACAATGGCCTTGATATGTTCCCACATTGAATGCTTAGTCACCAGGGAGTGTATGGAAGGATTAGTAGGATTAACCGGTGTGGCCTTGTTGGAGGAAATGTGTCACAGGGGTGGGCTTTGAGGTTTCCAAGGCCCCAGAAAGGCCCAGTCTCTCTCCCCCACCTACTCTCTCTTTCTCCCCACCCCCACTTCCAGACGAGGATACAGTAGTTCCTCCGCAACCAGTCCAGTGCCAGGCATGCCTGCTCTCATGCTCTCTGCCATGATATTAATGGACTAAGTCTCTGAAATTGTAGTCAAGACCCCAATTAAATGCTTTCTCTCATAAGGGTTTCCTTGGAGGAGACAGAGCACGAGCAAGGAACTCAGGACTGCGAGGGGTGCACCCACACACTGAGACAATGGGGATGTTCTGTCGGGAACTCACCAAGGCCAGCTGGCCTGGGTCTGAAAAAGCCTGGGTTAAAACCGGTCTCGCTGAACATAGCAGACAATGAGGACTACTGAGACCCCAAGAACAATGGCAGTGGGTTTTTGATCCTACTGCATGTACTGGCTTTGTGGGAGCCTAGGCAGTTTGGATGCTCACCTTACTAGACCTGGATGGAGGTGGGTGGTCCTTGGACTTCCCACAGGGCAGGGAACCCTGATTGCTCTTTGGGCTGACGAGGGAGGGGGACTCGATTGGCGGAGGGGGAGGGAAAGGGGAGGCGGCGGTGGGGAAAAGACAGAAATCTTTAATAAATAAATAAAAAATAAAAAAAAAAGAAAATCAAGGGTTTCCTTGGCCATGGTCTCTTCACAGCAACAGAACAGAGACTAAGACACCCAGCTTCCTGAGCCCACCTTTCAATTACACAAGCACCGTCCTTCACCACCCATTCTGTACACTATTAAAAATTTCATAGTTAAAAATCTAAGACGATCTCAGAGACAGCTTCACACTTTTTTAATATTCTGTGCTTATGGCAAACACCACAGAAGCCACCTGAAAGTAAAGTTAACATTTATATAGGATTAGCTCAGATTATTGTTAGTGTTTACAGTAAATCACAGATCACACGAAGTAATGTTTACTTGCTACAATTGAAAACCATGATTTGCTTCCAGATGAACCCGGAAGTTAGAAGATTAACTAGCCAGCTGGGGCCAATAGTAGGGCTGATGTACGTTGCCTGGAAATTATGTTTATGAAATGCATATAGGAAATGAGTAGAAATTGCATTTAACTTTGGAACTTGAGCACGCTTGTGTTATTTACCTCCCTAAGCCTAAAGAAACCGAGCTTTGCACAGATCGAAATTATCCTACTGTGCCTGACGAAATTGATTACGGTTGATATAAAGTGTCATCAAATGCCTGGCCCCTGGTGTGTGCTTGCTATTATTAGACCCATCTTTCAATCCCAACCCTCTTGAATCCATCCTACAGACCGAAAACTGTTCTCACGATAAAATAGCATGTTATGAAATCATCTGGGAACGTCTAAGAGGCCCAGCAAATGCTGAAGCCGTTAAAAGTTTATTAGACAGATCTAAGCCTGTCACTATGGTTAGAGGTGAGTCACTCATAACTCTTGGGGTTTTAAAATTATGATTCCTCCCCCTTCAAAGCTTCTCTTTCTACTCGTTTTAATCGGTTTCATTCTGTAAAATCTGAATGGTGGGGTGAACCGTGTATTTTCTCTGGGACGTGAGACAATGTGAGAGTGGTCCTCGGCTTTTTAAGGGATTATTTGACCTGTGAGTTCTATTGCGTTCTCTCCCTTCCACCACTCAAGGGAATCTTAACCCAGTCACATCGTTCTGTCAGGCTGCTTCTGCCTTGTTCTCTTGGACTACCCATTCTGGGGGGAAAAAAAAATCATTCGCTCTATCCTGCACAAAAGGCTGTGTGGCAAAGTAGCCGGACCACCAGCATGTCAAAGAGCCAGTGCCAGTTCATCACCTAGAAGGCTGAGCCATCTTGCCAGTGGCCCTCCAGCCCTAATCAAAACTTTAAACCAGAAGCCCATATGACGTCAGAGACCCTGAAGTAGAATCAACAGCAGGGCCACTCCGAAAATCCCCGCCCACTCCACCTCTACAAGCTGACTAGGTTTGGGTGGCTAAGCTTTGGGTAATTGCCACGCAGCTAACTAACAACACGACCTACTCCAGATTGCTGGCTGAGGCTGCTTTGAGTTCCTGCCTCCCCCCCAGCCAAAGAAATTCTGGAGAACTTAGGAACAGTATTCAAATTACTGGGAATGGGTCTTGGTCATCCATATAGTTCAAAAGCCCCACAGTTGATAATAGTATAGCGTCAGCTGCAAACCTCTGCTTCATTTGGGATTGTAGAGATTTACCATGTAATTATATGCC